CGATTCTCCAGCTCGTGGTCCGTCTCTAGTGATTTCTTCGTACACGTGAAAACACATTTATAATAGTCATTTGAAAAACAATTTGCAGATTTTAAATATATACTTTAAACGGAAAAAATCAGTTCATTAGATAATCAATTTACATATAAAATGAATATAAATATATTCAAACTAAAACCATATTACGTAACTAGTAAATAATGAAGTGAAATTAACATTAGAAATGCCAGCTAACAATTAAGTTAAGCTCAAATAACTTCTTAATATATAACGTCTAAAAATTTTCCTATGTTTACAGATACAATAACTTATTAAAACCAAATGCAGTTTCATATTATTCTCAACTCATAGGAACCATTCACGAAAGAAAGATATCCTTATTTCATTTACTGTCAATTAACTCTGCATTCGAGGGGCGACTGTCAGCAAAAAAAGTTTGAAATAATGTATTTATTTGTCACTTCAACCGATTCAGTCAGATGATTCATGAAATAACTGAATTATAATAGCAGAATAGAATAGCACCTTGTTGTTAAGTAATAAAATAAATAGTTAAATTATAGAATACAATAATCCTATACACTTTAACCGATCCAATTAGTTAATGCATGAAATACCTACTTACTTTACGAAACAACTGTTTTCAAATTTTAATAGTAACCTTGTACACGATTGCGCATCGCAATTTTAATATTTTGCAAGATATAAAACTAATAAAACACTGTACACTACAATATACGTCGACAGTAAAGGTGTTAATCTATCGACAACAGTAAGCAATCGAACAATCCAGCAAAATCGCGCGAAATCATGCAACTTCCCGACTGGTTTTCCGATTCATCGAGGAATTCGCAACGCGAGACAGGAAACTTGGGAGGCGGATTTTCATCAACTTTCTCCTGGAAATAGAACGGGCCGAATGATTCACGCTCCGTGGACACGGCGTCAATTTATCGTGACGTCTGCCGCGACAATGCCACCCTCAGCTTCCGGTGAACCGATCGGCGTGGAGTCGAGCGTAAACGACTTTGTGTACGCGAGTGAGAGAGCGAGCCGCGGGATCACGTCGAAGTGATTTAGAATGACGTTCAACGGTTCGACTTGTTGCGGAAGTTGCGATCTTTTGTACGAACACGTGGGTCGTTCGATAAGCAAGTTACTCACTGCCTTTTAGAAAAGTTGGAGGAACGGACGAGGAACGAAAACTCCTTTATCGCGTGTACGGTGGTAGAGAAGGAATTAAGGATAAGGTGATTCGACTGATTACAGTCGAAAAATTAATTATTGTTTTAGTTAACCCTTTGCACTCGAGAGGCGACTCCTCTATTTATACAGTAAAATTATAAACTCTTGTATTTACCTTTGTATACTGCACGAATACGTGAAATATTGAAAGAAAATAGCTTTGATCTCCAATTTATGCGTGATTTCTTGATAAATTAATTTTAAAGGATCATCTAATTGGAAAGTATTGGATATTTCAAGTGGAAAACTTTCGAGTGCAAACGGTTAACCCCTTGCGGCCGAGCGTTTTTAAGATTTTTAGAAACTCTTTCCATAAAACACCGAGAATGCAAGTCTTAAATTAACTGCTATTGACGAGTATACACGTCATCTAGAAGCTTGAAATGATACTAGTTCTTTATTTTTTCAGATGAACATGTAATTCTTGTTTGTTTTGCTTTGGATTTTCATTGAAATATACTTTACGTGCATTCTTCTTGCGTTTGACAAGTACACACTCCGCTCTTTGATTTTAATGCGCGTAAAACGAGGAGGTTTTGAAACTAAATTCCTCAGTTAAAAGGTTGAATGCTAGTAGAGAATCGTATCGATCTCTCGTTATTTGAATAATGAAATGTATTTGCAGCGTTCGATTTCTGATGTGGAAGCTCGAAGTCATTACGGCGACATTCGATCGCAAAGGGAGGAATTATTAAATTATAGTTAACGGGATATTAAGTTTGTAATATTGAAAAAATCGTACCAAAATGAAATCTTCGTTCTCAAGGAAATCGTCTTCGAAGAATGATTCGGGTGCTCGCGTGGCCATTGTTACGGCAAGTGGAAGCCAGTAGCAATGGTCAGACCAGTGGAACAGCGGAACGGTAGATACACGCAACAAGGAGAGAACGGGAATTAATGATTTCGAAAATGAAACTGTTCCTCGAAATTCAAAGGAATTATAAGACAAATAATGTCCAATCAAAATATTCAGTAGCATTAGTATCGAAATAATCGTGCAACCCTTTGAGTGCAAGGGAAATTTTCCTACATATTCGAGAAATGCCAGACAATTTTAAACAAAGTTGTATTATAAACAAAAACTTATATTTCGGTCAATTTTGATTTTTATAGAATTTTTACACAATACTAAAAATATGCTAGACTTCCTTTATCACTAATAAAATCTGATTTCTTCATTTTGAAATTATCGAAGAGGCAACAGACGTTTCCTTGATAAATTATTAACACATCAAGCGTCACGAAAATCTTGACTATATTTCTGTACAGTTATCCTTACCAAAGAAAAGTAGCAACAATTATTCACTATTTGGTATTACAATCGTTGCGTTACACTATTATCAACTCAGCTACGTTATTAAACATTTCGATTCGACATCGGTTGTTTTGCATGTTCCGATTGTTTTCAAGCAATTCAGAAGCGTCAGTCATCGATGACTTGTTTAACGTGTTAAAGAAATCGATTTACTAATACGCTATCTGAATTATAAATTAATTAAAGTCTCAGAAGGTGCAATTTTTGAAGTTTCCACGGAGGAATATCAAAAAATCGATTGAATCGCTCGCCAGTTTCGGTGTCAGAGGTTAATCGAATTTGATATCCACCGAAATGATTATTAAATCAATTCTATTCGCGGCGAGTTAACGTTCCCTCGCCCAATCGATCTTCCGTTCCATCGGAAGTTAGATCGGGAGGCACGTGCGTCTTATTTATAAAGTTCCGCGGTGAACGTTTGCCCGCGTCGCGATGAAAGGCCACGCGTTTAAATAGCCCCGGCGGGGATTGATCGGTTTAAACCGATCTCGGGGATGAACGACGTAACGTCGCTCGACGGGTCCCGACGTCACGCGTCTCGCGGATCGACGGTGACGTCACGGATCGGGGACGCGAATAGAACGAGGATGAGGGAGCGCTCGTTTTAACCGCGGAATTAATTAAACCAACGAAATTTTGCAAGACTTCCCGCTGGTCTAAAGCGACCAGTTTCATCGATTATCCGCCGGCGATGCTATTACAGACGCTCGCCGCATCTGTCGTCAATTATTGCGTTGGCCGTCGTCATTAGCGAGCCGAAGACTCGGTTTTCGTTTGCGATCCAAACCTCGTGTCACGAATTTTTGCAGTGAATCGTGCGAATCGAGATTGACTGAAACTTATTCGTGTTGTTTTCGAAGAAATTGATTTGCATTGATAATACATTGTGGTATTATTGTGTTATAGTTATGATGTTACGAATAATTAGAAGTGAAATTAGTAGAATGGTTAATTATTGAGGAGGTTTGAATAATAGTGATTTCACTGTTGTCTCTGAGCCCTCAAGATAGAAGGGTTTGTGAAATGGGTTAATTAAATAGTAATATTGGAGTTGCTAATATTCGTAAATAATAGGAATTAATTTTATCAGTAACATTGTGCATTATAAATTACAGTGTTAATATTACTGAATGCAATATTGCTCAAGACAATGACTAAATAGTTATTAATAATTAATATTATTAATAGCATTATAATATTAGATCATTACCCTTATACTATAATAAGGTACCATATATAATTAGTTGAATTAATCCAATAACATTTGTAGAAAGATTTCTTTATCTAAAAGAAATAGTAATCATACTATTATTTCAACCTACTCATACGATGGCAAAATAAAGAATATTTTATTCCACAACTGTGCTCGATAGGACTACTTTATCGTCAATAATTTAGTAGACAAGCACAAAAGTTTGATATTTATTCTGTCTACCTTTAACACGTTGAGTGTCATGAAAATTTCGAACGTTCTGTGTAACAATGCATATTCTTTCATAATAAAGGCAAATGGTATTAGAAATAATTATTAATGACTTAGTATCTAGCTGTTTGTGTTACTAAGTATTTTTATTCGACATCAGTTTGCCTATTGTAATTGAATTTAAACAATTTTGAAGCTCATGTCACCGATGACCACCGTGGCAGTTAACGTGTTAACTGTTAAAGATTGACAATAGACAGGTAATACTTCATTACCATGAAAACTGAACAAATATCCTTTAGATTTGTCGAAATCCATTGGAAATTTTCATCACGAGTCTGTCTCGTTATTGTAGGAAAAGGAGTTAAGGGGGGAACGTATTTTTTCTTTGTCAGAAGTAGCGATATTTAGGATTTCTCATTAGCAGAAGTGAAATTTGGTTTAACTTGAAACTTTGCAGATGTGTTTCTTGTACTTTCATTATGTTACATACATTCTTTCAGTTCAGTTCCCTTAAAAATAGTCTGCATTGCCCACGAAGTAGGACACTCACTCTAATGAGATTTTATTTTATACACATATAGTTATCGTTCGATCTACAGTGAATAAGAAAAAATTATTCTTCGAAATGGTAACTGTTTAAACTGAGATGTTCAATTTTTCGCAAAAGGTTACCCGAAACTTTGGTAATTAACCCTTTATAGGTTGGTGGCACATATAGATACCACTTTTATTACTGGTCAAATTACAGGGACTCTGTTCACCATTTTGATCCTTACGGTGTTGCAAGAACGGTTGGTGGCAGAAATAGGTGCCATAAAACAAGGAATCTAGGAAAATTTCGAAAAAAGATTCTCAATAATAATTGTTTTTTAAAGTATTTCTAATATGTATACGGCAGGGAACACGAATTATCATCAAAAAAATAATTTCCCCTATAAAGGGTTAAGTAGTTAATTCCTGTGTAATCAACGTAATGCAATACAAATGGAATAAAATGAAAAATTTGTTTTCCAGGGTGGCTCGTGCGAGTCTCTGTCGTCGAAAGGGGGTGCACTGACCGGAAGCGATTCCGGCGTGCTGGAACTGAGCGACAGTGGAGGAGGAGGGCCTCCAGGGGAATGGGACGCGGTACCGGCGATAGTCAGACAATGCATCAGGCATCTGGAGAACACGGGCCTTCGAACGCTTGGAGTGTTCCGAGTGTCGCCCTCGAAGAAAAGAGTCAGACAGGTAAATTCTGCTGAACTACGATCTAGAGAAGTGTCACGGGTAACCATTAACAGTTGACTGCCACGAGAATTTCCAGCGTTTTGAATAATAATACTTATTCTTTAAGAACGAAAGCAAATGATATCGAAAACAATTGTTAATGGTTTGGTACCACAGTAGTCATATTACGCTGTGATCCAGCTACTTATGTTACTAAATATTTTTACTTAAAATCAAGTTTTTTATTGTAATTGTTCTTCAGCAATTTGGAAGCTCCGGTCATCGTTGACCACCGTGGTAGTCAACGTGTTAATCCTTTGGCGAAGATTCTTTGAGATATGCGAAACCTTCAGCAGATAAAGCTAAATTATATATCGATCGCTTGAATAATAAAAATAAGGACATTATTATTATTTATTATCTCTGTTTGGGTAATTGCATCATTCCTATGCTATTCAACGTTACAAGTATGATAATTTCATCTCGCCGAAATGACGATCGTCCGCGAATGGTTAGCACTAGATTTACGGACGATTATTCTATTGTTCCTAGGAAACCACGTGTTCGTCTATACAAATCGTGAAAATTGTAGCTTCAGAACTGAAGTATTGTGTATTCGTATAATTGCAATCGAAATCGACTTAAACATTGAATAATTTATACGTTCACTACACAATAATTTTCACTACAAATATTCATTACTTTCTGGTACAATATTAACATTTTTCGCAATTAATAGGTAGAATTAACTTATAAATCGACACTAGAACTACCAAGGGTTTAATATGATTAATACGTAATTCCTACAAAAATTGTAACAATATATTATTTTCAGTTTCTCCAGACATTCTTTATAGTATTCAAGTGAAACTGTTTTTAAGATCATTTCGAGTACTCTATACTTTTAAGATATCAATAATTGCGATACAAAAAAATGGGAATCAGTCATTTTTACTAGTACAGTAGTTCTAGTGTTAAACAGAACTATCTTCACATCACAGAAAATTTAATATTGAATTTATTTGTAATTTTTCTACGTCGAATCGATGACTGAAATGCGCCTCTGCAAGGGTTAAATTGGGATTAGGAGAATATTCTATTACTATACTAGGGAAACTTGTGCGTTGAAGGTTTAATTTATAATTAACCCTCTGTAGGCCCATGTAACTTTGAAATCACATATCAGTATATTGGAATCTTGCTGATTTATTTCATTTTTCACTCAAAGCAGTGAATAAAATGAAGTAATCAGTTAACTTAAACTTTTATACGTTCATGGGTGAAAGTTTAACGTCATTGTAAATTGAAAGTTACAAAATATACTCGATATACTTCAGATATCATATTATTATGTAATATCTTTTAAATATATAATCAATTCGAATCAAATTGAATATTTATCTAATGCTGTGATAATTAGCAAAGTTACACAGCTAAGTGTCTTTATAGAAAAACAAGATTTCTCGTTGCCAGTGCGCAATGTGTTAACTCGTGTTCATATGTGGATATTTATTAATTTCGTACTGCGTAGATTTCGTTATAATCTCGAAGAAAAATTCGGCCCGTAGAGGGTTAAAGGTGAATTTCAAAGGTCAACGCACACTATCGTGCCACTTTTCTAATATTTCTTTCGTGTGGTTCATCGAATTTCTCAATGAGTGGCTGACACAGCACGCGGAAAATAGAGGGTTAATTTCTGTCGTCGCAATCGCATAGACAATGCATGAAAACCTGACACGTTTACAGTTACGAGAGGACTTCGATTGCGGCCGAGAGACAAAAATCGGCCCCGACCAATGTCCTCACGACGTGGCAGCCCTGTTGAAGGAGTACTTTCGTGACCTGCCTGACTCCCTGCTTTGCAGAGACCTCTACCAAGCCTTCGTCCATACACAAAGTAAGACCAACCTCAATGGAAACTCTAATCAGCCTATGTATAAGCAGCTTAAGTTAAGAAAGTTTATCCAGACATGAACTAATTCAGAATGATCGCATAAAGGACCTATTAATAACGTCAGGCACAGTTCAATCGGTTCCACGAGGGAATTGCAACGGGTGTTCCATAATCAGCGGTCTTAAAATTTGAGAAATAAAATTGAATCTAATAAGCGTAGAAATTAGCTTTTATTCACGCGGAAATTAGTATTCGTTAATAATGTAATTTAAATTACCATCGATCTTTCCCATCGTATTTTGTTACTTAGAATTGTATTTTTATTCGAACGTAAGAGATGAATTTTATACAAATCAATTTTCACGTGTTTGTTGTAAAGATTAGCTTGACATTATATTAAACAATAAACTTATCGAACCGCGAAAATAAAATTCTTCCATGTGATTTTTCTTTTCATCTTGGTTTTTCTCTTTTTACTTTTTTCGGCCAGTTTCCGCTTCAACTTTTGAACTTTCCAATTCAATAGCTCCCTTTCATCATGACGTTGACGCATAAGCACCGCTCCCGTCACTGAAACGGTCCCATTTCTTGCAGAGATCCGGAACAGACGGCTTCAGCAAGAAGCTCTTCAGCATCTCATTCAGCTGCTGCCCACGCCGAACCGCGAGACGCTCTGGGCACTTTTGAACTTCCTCAGCGTGGTGGCGGCGAACAGCGAGGATCAAAAGAACGACACCGGCGATTGGGTACCGGGGAACAAAATGGACACGACCAATTTAGCCACGGTGAGACCGCGTTCTCTCTTCCTTCACTCTGTCCATTGTGTCAAGGGTTGTATTCAATCTGTTAACTGACTGATGTTTCAAGGTTAAATGAGTAACCGAAATGAGCAGCAGTAATGCAATCAAGAGATTTTTCGTAATTAATCTTGAATCTTGATACAATGTAGCTTACACTAGTTTCGTGTCACAGTAAAGTGTCGAAACTATTGTATTACTTGCAACTATATGAATTGAATAATCAGATTGAAGTGTATCAATCGATTAGATGAAAATTATTATTCATTATTATTAATCGCTAGCTATTAAAAGATGAGAAGGAAGGAGATATTGATTAGACAAAAACTGATTAGACGGAAAGAATAGTGAAGAGTTATTAAAAGATGAAAACGAAGGTTAATATTAATTAGACGAAAAGCTAAACGAAGAGTTATCGAAAGGTAAAAAATAAGGTTAAAAATGAATTATATACATAGAATAATCAACAGTCAAAGGATATAAAAGACAATTGGCAAAACAAGCTTTTCAGTTTCCTTGAAAGGTTCACAATTCAAGTCACTTCTTATTCGAGAACGAAAGAGCACAATGTTTCTGAGACTGTAGCACTCGGTAACATGAAAGATTTCTTTGCGTAGGTATTCGCGCCGAATATTCTTCACTGCGTGAAGCCCGGTCAAAGGTCAGAGGTGTCGGCCGAGAGAGCAGAGGAGAGGATAGACGTGATAAACGTGGTCAGAGCGCTTTTGGAACATGCTTCGACGCTGTTCACCGTACCCGCTGCCCTTTTGGATGAAGTCTACCTGCACATGATGGACACCCACCCGGCCGAATTGGATCTCGCCCTCTCCCGACGTTCCGAGGAGTGAGTAATTTACGAGGATCTTCATTTTATCTCCCTTCGCCCATCTCGCCCAAGACAGTTACTTTTTGCCTTACTTCTTTCTTGAGGTTCGTCGTCTCGACTTCTTACCAAGTATTTTCTTTTGCTCTTTTTAATTTACGAACAGTATGTGGGGACATTCCTTTTGTCAATAATTTTTTAATCATTATGTTATTATTAGTAATGGATTTTTGGAATTAATTTAATGCATATTACATTTCATAAGGATGTTATTCTTGCCAATAATTTTTCAATCATTCTCTTATTATTAGTAATAGATTTGTGGAATTAATTTAATGGATATTATATTTCGTAAAGATTTTATTCTTGCCAATAATTTTTTAATCATTCTCTTATTATTAGTAATAGATCTTTGGAATTAATTTGATGCATATTATATTTCGTAAAGATTTTATTCTTGCAACTAACTTGTCGAGAGATCACGCATAACCTGAGAAACGAAGATATTTTATTTCAATATTTCATAGATCGATGCCTTTCGCAGAATTTAATGTTAAATATCAAACTTCATAATTTGCTGTACCAATTAAACGATGACCGAGAGTCACCGTGCAAAGGGTTAATTTTCTCAATATTTATTTTCTTCCCTTAACACGTTGACTGCCACGAAAAACATCAGCGTTTTATGTTTCACTTATCCTTTCTATAGCGAAGTTACAAAACAAGGATTATTAATTCTTCGATATGAAAATTCTTATATTACTCTATTATCTAGTTAATCACATTACGGAAAATTCGTATTTGAAATCAGTTATCTTTCAAGTCACAATTATTTTCTTGTAATTTGAAAGCTCCGGTCACCGGTGACCACCGTGGCAGTCAACGTGTTAACACATTGCGTACCACATCTTTATATAAAGACACTTAGCTATGTAATTTCGCTAATTACCACAATATTGACGAAATATAAAATTTAATTCGAATCGATTACCTATTTAGAATATATTACACAACGATGTATCTGACTTTTTCTATGCATAGTGATACAAGTTGACCTCAGTGAAAATTGCCATCCGCCCAATTCAGTTTTCTGAAAATTAGCCGGTACGCAATGCGTTAACAGGATCAGCTTCTGAACGATTCGTATCGCAGATATCATATGGTAGAGCGAAGAAAAAAGTTTGACAAAGCGTTCCGTGTGTTTTCCCTCGCAGGCAATGCGGAGACGAGGCGGACCCGTGCAGCGAAGCGGAGACGTTCTCGGTGGAGGAGACTCTGACGACGTCGCCGACGACCACGGCCGGGACTACCGCGTCGACCAGAAAGGTAATCGATCCAGATTGATTGACGCGATATTCGCCGTCGCTTTTGACGTCGTCGCCTCTTCCTATCTTAATGCCCGACGTTGCCCGGGGATCGGACTCCATAAAACTTCCACGTGGCTAAAATGCTTCCTTTATCGAGGGAGGGTGTAGGCGGCGTGATTCACTGGATTTATCTCTAAATTTATTGCTATACGGTGCTCTATGCGACGCTGCGGATGTATATGTGTTACGCGTGACGTTGTGGACCACGCGAACGTAAAAGTAGGGGCTTCCTATTGAACCGGAAATTGCGTTTGTTAACACATTACGCGCCGGCCCCGCGATAATGCGGTATTTTTAGTCTATCGTTTAATTGCTAGCCCTGCATTAATGTAACGTTTTAGATATGTATAATACAAATCCAAAATAAAATTAGAAATTTCGGTTTGCCTGATGTTTAAAAATATATTAATAGGATTACCGACGTTCGCGTTTCTAGTAACCGAAATTTAGCTGGCGTACAATGTGTTCAGATTTATTGTGTTTAGTGGTGGATCTTGAAGTTTGTACAATACAGTTTACGAGATTGTTTAATTGTGTAATTGTAGGTAAAGGTTGATGTATGAAAATCGAATTGTGGATCAGCATTTGGATGCTCTACTTTGTAAAATTGGCATTGTTTTAATACTTGTATTTGTGGAGAATTAAAGCGACTTCGTTTGGAAAAGATATGTCTTTCTTTTAGAATACTAGTTTAAAAGGTTGTTGGCATTGCGAAGAAATTTTTACCCAAAGCCATTGTTATAAGGATATACTTATTTGGAGGTACTTTTATAAACTTCGTGCAATGAGATTGGAATTCTTATTGTTTATTTGTTAGTCATGTATTTAATAATTTACTTCTTAGTTGTCTACTCAGTAATTCAATTCTCAGCAATTTTATTTGACTACTTGTTAGTAAAAAAAGTGTATTTACCGATAAAAAAGTTTCACTAATTTTACCGATACATGTTTCAATTACATTTTATTAATAAATCTTTTAACTAGATTTTACTAATAGAACTTTTAACTACAATTTACTAATAAAACTTTCAACTAAATTTTATTAATAAAACTTGCAACTAGATTCTACTAATAAAACTTTTAACTCCATTTTACTAATAAAAATTTTAATTAAATTTTACTAATAAAACTTTCAACTAAATTTCCTAATAAAACTTTTAATTCCATTTTACTAATAAAACTTTCAACTAAATTTCCTAATAAAACTTTCAACTAAATTTCCTAATAAAAAATGTCATTTGCTCGTTAGTGACAAAGAAATTGTTTGCAAATGTTCCAGGTGTGGACACGAGAACAATGTCTTCACCAGACGGCCGGCATAGGTGGGGACATAGGTCCAAGGCCGCGACGGTCGAAAAGGCCGGGAAGTCGAAGAAAAGAGGAAGGCAGGAGTAACAGCGTGGACAGCGGATCTAGCGAGGATCCGGCGGATCCTCGGAGGAGATCCTCACCGATGGTGATCACCGCCAGTCTAACCATACCAATGCCCGGCGCGTTCACATTGAACCTAGATGATCCGGACATTCCTTACATCGAAGAGGCGCCTAAGCAACCCAGCGTCCCCCCTAGGAGGCAGCGACAACGATCGATTTCCGGTTGCAGCGAAGGTACATTGACACGTCATTGTCAAGACATATTTATCGTGTAATCGTGTAACGTTAATTAACTTTGAGGGTGAAATAGTCCTTTGTCTAGGATACACCAAACTTTATCGTATGAAATATTTCTGTTGTGATTGAAGTTTTGTAAAAATGTTTCCTTTAGAAGTTGGATACGTTGAAGTATTGACATTAAAGAGGGTTGAAAGATTATAAAGATAGAAATTGGAAGATAAAGGATAAAATAATAGATATACCTGTACAGAGAAAATGTAAATTGGCAGATTATAGATATAGAAATAGAAAATTGGCAGATTAGAATTGAAGAATTATAGATAAAGAAATAGAATACTAGAAGTTGCGAGTTAAAAAATTGTAAATACAAACATTAAAAACAAGAATATGATTGTTGAAAGGTTACACATGTGAAACTAGAAAATTAGAAGCTGAAAAAATTTACAAATATAAAATCAGAAAATAAAAAGGATTACAAATCTAAAATTAGAAGGTGAAAAGAGTTACAAACATAAAATCAAAAAATAAAAAGTATTTCAAATCTAAATTCATAAAATTAAAATGATTACAAATAT